TGAAAACTGATAAATACAGGAAAGAATCAAGCATTTATCCTACCTCACTTATATAGACTGTATTTCAGGGTAACAAAGTAGTTGATTAGTGGAAGTTTCCTAGTATAGAAATATTCAAGGGGCGCCTGGGTGGCTCAGTCGTTAAGCATCTGCCTTCGGCTCAGGTCATGATCCCAGGGTCCTGGGATCGAGCCCCGCATCGGGTTCCCTGCTCAGCACGGAGTCTGCTTCTCCCTCTCCCACCCTCCCTGCTTGTGTTCCCTCTCTCGCTGTGTCTCTCTCTGTCAAATAAATAAATAAAATCTTAAAAAAAAAGAAATATTCAAGCTACCAATCAAAGAAGGAAACATAGAATTAGAATATCACCATTTTGCAACACCTAATGAAATAATGATTCTAGGCAATAAACGTCAATGATTTTTTATGTCACAAAAAGAGAAACAGCGAGACGTTATGTGCCTCCCAATGGAAGTACAAAATCACCTATTATTCTTTTTTCCAAAAAAAAAAAAAATGAACTAGAATCTAATCAAGCCTCTACATCTAACTACCAATTTACAGGAAAAACAAGGGATAGAGGAACATATCCAACTATATGGCAAGGATGTAATCAGCAAAACTGAAATGGAGGGAAAACCCATAAATCAAATGACCCAGTTTCTTCAATAAGTAAAAGGAAAAATAAAAGAGACAAAGAACCTATATATTAAAAGACCAGAGATAGCATCAACCAGCTAAAATGTATGGATCATATTTGGATCCTGATTGAAACAAATCATATTTTAAAAATTTGAGCTCATCAGACAAATCTGAACACTAAATGGATAGTTGATGACATTAACAAACTATTGTTGTTTCTTTTAAAGGAGGATTAATAGCTTTGCAGTTATTTTCTTAAAATTAGTCATGACCTTTTTCAGAGATATTGAAATATTTACAGCTGAAATTATGCATTGTCTGGGATTTACTTCAAAATAATTTAGGAGCTGGGGGTAAGTGGAGCTATTTATTGCAACAAGATTGATAACTGTTATAATGACAAGAACTGATCATTGTTATAGTTAAGTGATTATTACTTACAGATTCGTGATACTATTCCTTCTAATTTGTATATATCTGACAGCATCAGTTTGATATAGTTTTAAAGAGGAAAGAGGAAGGGAAAAATTGCTCTTAGGCTGAACCCAGGGTCAAAGCTAAGAGTTGAGGCTCAGAACTATGGGAATGCCTGAAATACCTGCTTGGGTCACTTATAAAGCCCAGGGGCTGGCACACAGTAGGCCTTTAGGAAGTGTTTCTTGAATGAGCAAACAAACATCTGAATATCAAAGTAGCACTACATATGCTCCTAATGCCTGAAATACATCCAACAACCCCAAGTTTGGCAAGCCTTTGTGGCAGGTGGTGCTCCATACCATCACTTTCACCGGTATCACCCTCAGTATGTAATTATATATTAAGTCTACTTTAAAATAACAATAACAGGGCACCTGGCTGGCTCAGTCAGAAGAACATGTGACTCTGGATCTTGGGGTTCAAGAGATTAGTTAAATAAATAAAACTTAAAAAAATAAAATAACAATAACAGCCACTAACACACTGACTCAACACTTGCCATGTGCCAAAGTCATGCTAAGTGCTTTATATGAATTATCTTGTTTAACCTTCATAACCAGCCCTTGAAGTAGGTGCCATTATTATTACCACTCTACAGACGATAAAACTCTGGACAGAGAGGTTACATGGCACAGAGCCATGAAGTAGTAAGCCCATATTTGTAACTTCTATGTTACACTGATCTCTTAATGTCTTCCCCCTGCCCACATTGACCTCCACCACCGCATTATGAGGGTCAAAAGAACATCATTCAACAAAATATCTCAGCCCCTATCACAATGCCTGGCAAAAATAGGTGCTTCATAGGTATATGCTAGATGAATGAAAACATTCTAAGTAATACTGTATGATTTCTCTTTGTGTTTCTCTGACCCACCTCATCTTCCCCACAATTTCCAGCACAAGACTCAGCCCCTAGAAGGTACTCTACATATCCAGAAACACTCAAGAGTTAAAAAGTGTTATTGTGACCACCCAACTCTGTCCCCTCAGTTAACCAAAGGATAGGACCTCTCCAGGTTTTCTCTCCTACCTCTGAGTATAAACAATCAAGCAAGATGGACAATGGAGAACATACGAGCCTCGGAGGTCCTGAAAGACTGAGTTCTAGCAGAAGAGGTCAGTAGCAGATGCCCTGCCTGAGTGAGATTCAGGGAGGAAGGCCCGGGGTGTGGTGGAGGGTATGCATTTGCCCTTCCTTAAAGAACAACACCCTCTGCCCAGTGCCCTGTGCCTTCTGGAACATCTTTGGAAATCTTGTCACTTCAGGACACACTTACAGATCTCACTAGGGACCAACGGCTTCCTTGGTCTCCCTTCCCCTCTTTCCTTTCCCCTGGAGATAGGGAAGCAAAAAAACACCCAGCAACAAAGGCCTCTGGTGTCACCTTCGAAGCAGCGAAGGACTTTCTGTAGAGGATAATGGGGTTTCTAGTCACTCCTTCTGCCTGTGGCTATCCCCAGCCCCTGAGAGTCTTCAGCATCTCCAGCATACAGGGTCCCAAGAATCCCAAACTCTATGTCAAGAAACTTCTAGGAAAATAGCACAGACAACCACAGGAGCTGTAACTGGGTGGAGGGGACAACAGTCTAGTCTAGCATGATCACAAAGGGGCTCTTAGATGGCGTGCTACTGAGGCTGGGCCTTGAAGGGTGGGAATCACTGGGCTTCGTGGGGATGAGACGGATAAAGAAGGAATGGTGGGTGCAATGTAGTGAAAGCAAGAGCTAACACTTATCCAGCACATACTCTGGGTTTGTCGCTGGGCTCAGTGTTTACATATAAAAGCTTGTTGATATCTCACCTTATGAAATAGGGGATAACAATATACCAGATGAAGAATCCAAGGCCCAGAGGTGTTAAATAACTTGTCTAAGGTAATCCAGTAATTGGCAGGGCTGGGATTCAGACTGATTTTTCCAACCCAGGGTCCACCATACTATGTGCACCAAGAGTTGGGGCGGGGGAGACGGGAGATGGCTTGTGTGAGGGAAAGGACTATGTGTGGAAGAGCAAGGGAATCCTTGAATGTGACCCTAAAAGTCTAGATGGGGTGCCAAGAGGCAGGCCATGTGCTGAGCCGTGTTGCAGGAGGAATGGCCTAACACATTTATAGAGGATAATGGTGGAGGGGTTGCTGGGAAGATGGAACCTGCTACCCCCGGAAGCTCTACAGGACGAGGAAGGACAGGCAGCAGCATGAGTGAGGAAAACCTAGAAGAGAAACAAGTTTACCAAATGCCAGTTGGTAATCAACGGTATTCACCTTCAGATTTAAGCAAAGAAAGATCTCCAGTCCCAGTCAGTCCACAAAACTTGTATTAAATGCCAACTGTGTGCCAGGCCCTGCCCTAGGCAGCCTCCCTCTGTTTCTCCTCCTCTTCCCAGTGAGGAAAATCAGGTTGCTGGCAGGCTCCTACAACTCGGCACCCTAAGGTGCTCTCCTCTTCTTCCCATCTCCACTCTCATAAGGCAGACAAACAGCTTTTCTCATATGTTTATGTTAAACTCATAAAGTCCAGAATCCCTGCATTTTAACTTCAATAAGTTTTACAATTTAAAAGTATTTATTTTCACTTTACTGGTCCAGTTTACAAGATAAACAATAACTTACTTTTTAAAAACTAAATCCTCTTTTAACCTCAGTAAGTTTTTTTAAGCACTGGAATACGCTTTAATTAATATTCTAAAAAGAAAAACGCTGGAAAAGTGAACCTCAATAAGTTTTTGATGAGAAAATTTTCACCAGAGGGCAAATCGTCTTCCACTCCAGCTACCAACCATGGAGCCAGCAGTACCTCTGCTCAAGGGTATCTCTTGAGGTTCAGAAATGGGAACTTACATGCCAACCACAATGCCCTTCACGATCACCAGGGGAAGTGGGGACCCAGCGACATCTCTAATTCAGTAAATCTGATGCAGCTGTACCTCAGGGAGTCAATCCTAGTTTGGAGCTGAAGAAAGGGAAACTTAGCTTCTCATTCTTGTGCTTTAAAAAAAAAAAAAAATCCTGGGACGCCTGGGTGGCTCAGTCGGTTAAGTGGCTGCCTTCCGCCCAGGTCATGATCCCAGGGTCCTGGGATCGAGTCCCACATCGGGCTCCTCGCTCAGCAGGGAACCTGCTTCTCCCTCTCTCTCCCTCTGCTTGTGCTCTCTCTGTCAAATAAATTAAAAAAAAAAAATCCTGTCCCAACACACAGCCTTCTCACTGAGGAGGCGGGATTTATTAGCCAAATACAAGTGCAGAAACTTCCAGACTTGGAGGGCAACCTCTTGCTCTCCGAATCACTGACTTCAGGAAACTCTGCTCAGCCAGTGGTTCGGCGATGGAAGCAAACTCTCAGTAGGTTGGCTCAGCAATTCCCCAGGCAGGTTCACCCCGCCGGCCAAGGCTAAGAGACAGTGATCCTAAATGTCTTGGTGTATGTTAGGCGGGAAGCCGGGGACTTTTCCGCTTAGGTTCTCTAAGCGTTGCCACGGGGCCGTTCTTTGACTACTGCGGGGTAAAGAGGTTTGTATGGGCACTTCTTGCACCACCGACAGGCCGCAGCATGAGTGAGGATGCTACTCGAGAGACCCTCTCTCAAGACACCCTCTTTTTCAAACTATACGACAAGCATAAGGGGGGAAGAGGCGGCCCCAGCAGAAGCTAACCACCGCGGTTCTAAAAGCCTTGGTTGCGTCTGGGCCCATGCGGAGCCGCAACTGGACGGAGATTCCCTTCCGGGACGCCCGCCATCGGCCCCTGGATTCCCAGCAAGGCCCCTCAGGCCCTTCGAGAACCCCCGCCTCCGGCTTCCCCGCCCAGATCTTGGAACCCTCAGGCCCGGGCCAGTCTCTCTGCCGGCCTTCCAAGGCCCAGCCGCCCGGCCCCGCGGCTCACCCTCGAGCGTCTCGCACTGCACCAGATTGAGGTAGTCCGCCTGGCTGAGCACCCCGGCCTTCAGGCCGCGCACCAGTCCCTCCAAGTAGCCATTGTCCACGTTGAAGTAAAGCTCCGGGAAGAACGACATGGCTGCGGCGGGGGAGGCGAGATCGGAGAACCCCGATCGCCGGGTGGACAGCTCGACTCCAAGATCAGCTGACTCGGCGCCAGCAGCGGGCTGTCAAGCGGGTCAGGTGATGCGCGAGCGCCTCACGTGACCATGACGGGGCGGGGCTCTGAGTGGCGCCCGGCTTCCGGGTTGTTTCGTCCGAAAGCATTGCGCAGGTGTGGGTCCTCTGGCGCCTGCGCGACTAGGATATAGGCGTACCTCTCGCTACCAACTTGGAGTGTCTGAGGCCGGCCGCGTGGTGGCGCACGTGGCCGCGGGGATTCGATTGGGCCCTCTAGTTTTACAACCCCCTCTGGGGTAGCGGGCACCGAGGGGCAGGCGGAGGAAAGATGGGAGTGAGCGGTGCTTCTTATGCTTGGAAATATTCCAGACTGTTGAGTCAGTCTTCCCCCGAAGGGAACTACGGTTCGAGGGGCAGTCTTCGCCGAGGTCACAGGTCGAGTTAGCTGCAAGCAGGCCCTAGAGCCTAAAGCTTGCGGGCCAGCCAGGAGTTATAAACCCCTATATGCACTGCGCGCTGCACCCGCATTTACTGTACAAGATTCTGGAGGGCTGGAGCCCGGCCCTTCCGCCTCCCCACCGACGCCTAGCACCATAAGAGCATGAATGTAAGTGATTCAGATGAATACCCTAGACCCTGGGGAAGGGGTGTGTGTGATTTCTTGGCTTGGCCGCAACCCCATCTCTACCGTGACCTCCATGACCTCCCGCCTCCGACGGCCACGTTCGAAATAATGCCACAGCCTTGGGGTTGGTCCCAGCCTTTATTCGCTACCCCGTGCACAGCCCCGACCCCGACGTCGGCCCACTAGGTACGGCTGCAGGGGTTCATGGCAGTACCCAGCTTGCGGCAGTAGCAGAAGGCGTTGAAGAAACGGCAGTAGCACGTGGCACATGGGTCGCAACATGGTACCTGGTGTCCCAGACAGGATTCATGCAGCCTTACGCAGCGACGTGGGGAGCGTGGCTCGCGGCCCTCCGGATCTAGAACCTACAGGAGTGAGGGAGCAGGACTGCAGGCATGGGCTTCTGAATGCAGGTCCAGGGATGTCACCTGCCTCAGTGCAGGCAGGATGGCAGCTGAGCATGGAGAGAGTAGTCTGCAGTATCACCCCAGGCGAGGGGGTCATGAGGTGGAGAGAGGGGCTTCTGCCTGACGTCCCCTCCCAAAGCCTGTGGTCATCCCCCTTTTCCTGGGCAGTTACCTCTGCCAAGGCCTCGGCCTCCTGCAGCCGAGCTTCTTCTGACTGTTCCGCAGTTGTCCTTTTCAGCGAGGACTGCAGGCCCAGGCCTGGAACAGATGATGTGAGGGCAGAACCCCCTCCCTCCCCATGCATAAAACACCCTCCTCGGAGGCCTGGGACTGGGAAGCGGGAAGGAGGGCTCATACCACGTAGGATACTTCATGGCCAGAGGGTATCCAGGCTCCACCCAGCTCCACCCCTGCCCATACTGACCTGGGAGCTCTGGGAACTGGGCCTGGTCAGGCCTTCTGATGCCTTCCATGGGAGCCAGGCCCATCTGGGCCCCCTGCATGGGGGGCAGTGCTAGCAGCAGGGCACAGCTCAGCAGCACTGCAGGCAGCATGACCTGGCCAGCAGTAAGACACACCACTTAGTCCTTCCTCATCCTTGATGCACCCTCTAGGTGCCCTACCCCAGACAGAGACCTCCCAGAAATCAGGAGTCTCTGCCCAACCTGAGGACTTACGTCTGCTTACTGGATCCTTGCCTGGAGAGTTTCTGGCCACTCCGGCGCCCTCAGCTTATATGGCAGGGTCTAATGAATGCCCCACACGTGACTGCCGCCTGCAACCAGGACATAAGGGGCCCTCCCCAGAGGGTGGGGCACAGCTCAGGCCTCTCTCCCTGAAACCTGGGCTTTTGGATGCTCTGTAAGAGGTGTGCCCATCTCTGATTTGGGGGTGAGGTCCTCAGGTGCCAATCAAAGTTGGGGAACAAGATAGGGTAGCCAGAACCCCCAAATTTCTACAGGACAGGGACCTGGGTAGGGGTGGGGAGGTTGGACAGGCAGGAACCATTAGCAGTAACAAGGCAGGCAGCCCTGAGATCTTAATTTAATTTGTGGCCCCGGAGATGCTCACTCAGACCCTGTGTGGCATGTTGTTTCCTTTGCTTCCAGGAACTTTGGTCAAGGGCATTGAAGAGGGTGATGGGCCAGTGGTCAGAGTGGGGTGCAGACTTGGACCCTGGGGTTTTTTTGAAGGGAAGAGAGAGGGGAGAAGCCCACTTAGCCAAAACCAAGCCCTCCTGCCTCCATCTCTAGTCCTTCCTCCCCTCCCCTTTGTCCCTCCAGGCTTCTCCAAGACCCCCACCCTTGCTCCTTCTCCCAAACCCTTTTCCACCCAGGGTTCCTGGAAGCTAAGGAGGCAGAACGGACTGTTCCCTGGGTGGGCGAGCAGCTTCAAAGTAAAAAGCTTTCAGGCTGCCTGTCTCATTAGTGCTAATGGCTGTTGCCTTCCGCCCAGTGTTGTCAGGCCTGTGCCCACGCCTGATCTCATCAGCACGAGGCCAGGGTGAAGACTGCCCTTTTGTGAAGGTGGGAGGACACACAGGACCCCACCTGCCCCTGCCTTCCCTCTCCCCTCTAGAGGACTCTTTAACACACCCTTGGCCCATCAGGGAAAGGGGTATAGGCTGAATTACCTTCAAGACCTCAGTGTACAAATTGAGCTGCCTGAGACAGTAGGAAGATGAAGAGGCTGTTGGGGTTTGCGGTCCAGGTTCACACAGACTATTCTGCCCAGGACGAGGCCTGAGGAAGTCCTCCCAGCAGTGGCTGGCAACCCTATGTTGTCATCTGACAGCCTTTGGTCTTCAGCACCAACAGTCAGTCTTGGGGTTCAGTTGCATGGGGAGGGGACACTCTGCAGATGGTGGGGCTGTGGCAACTCCATTCACAGACGGGCACCGATGTCTGTTCTGGTATCAGGCTAGCACTGGCCTCACTTGTGGTTGGCCTAGGGTAACAGTCTTAGGAGCTCGGAGGGTCACATACTACCGCCCAGAGGGAGGAGGCTGGGGAGTGAGGGAAAGCCTCTCTGAGGAGGTGGTCCCAGGATAATCCAGCAAAGGGCCATCCCCGTTTCTCCCCTGACAATGCTACTGGCTATTTGGGTGACAAATAGCCACAAAATGGACCTGGTGTCAAGGCCTCCCTGGCAACTTACTTTGACCTTTCTTCCCCAGAGGCTAGAGCTGGGCCCAGTCATCTACCCCAGGGCTTTCTCTTCTCAGGGTGGTGCAGGGTGAAGGTATCAAGCACTAGATATGCTTCCATCTTGGTGGGGCCACTGGGGGTTCAAGAAGGGCAATGCATCAAAGGTACCCGAGGCACTCTCCCCAAATCCCTGGCCCCTGGCCCCATCCTTGGAGATTCTGGCTGAGGAGATGGAGGTGGGGAGCAGAGACTGCAGGTGGATTTTGGAAAGGTGCCCCAGGTGAGTTGAGGTGGAGGCTGTGAGCACTTGGCTGGGCCTGATTGGCATCCATACTAAGAACAGTTCATATTTGGGGGTGGTGGGAGTGCTCATCCCACCCAAGACGCTCAGTGTCTTCTCATCTACAGAGCAGTGACTGTCTTCCCCTGTGTGTGTGCGGGGGATGACATGGGCAGTGATGGACAAGGGCTGAAGCACTCCCAGGGGCAGCCCCGGTCCCTAGTCAGGTCCAGTGGGCAAGACAGTCGAAAAAAAACAACCATCAAAACACAGTAGGATGATGAGAGAAATATAAACGTTGACTATTTGATGACATTAAGGAATAATTGTTAATTTTTTAAGTTGTGATAATGGTTTTGTGGTTTCAAGTAGCTTTTTTTAGAGAAATATAATGAAATATTTACTGATAACATGATGTGAAATAATCCAAGAGAGGGGGAATAGCGGGACATGATATAGATGAAATAAAATTGTTCATGAGTTGGTAGTTTGTTGAAATCGGGTGATGAATACACGGGCTTCGTTATCCCATGACTGCTATCCTTGTGTATGTTTGAAAATCTTCATAATAAAAATTAAAAACAAAGAGAATTATCTAAAATGCAATGGGATAAATGCTTTGGTAGAAAAATGCCCCAGGAGCTTGTAGGCCTAGGAGGGGCATCTACCCCAGCTGAGGGAGGAGCAGGAAGTTGGCTGGGGAAGGCTTTCTGGTAGAGGAAACTTTTACTCATTGATGAAGCTTGAGTAAGAGTCAAGGGTGGAGCCACACCAGGGACAATGTAAGTTTCCTGGACCCATAATTGGCACATGGTTTACTGAGTTGCCTAGTTCTACAGCTTAACACTGCTACAGGCTCTGCTCCAAGCCTGGTTCCTGCCGGACGAGCCCCAGCCTGGTGAGCAGTCAGTAGAAGCTTTTCTCCCCCTTCCCCGACCCGCCCGGGGTCAGAGAGTTGGCTGCTCCCAAAGTTGATTCAGTCAGTGAGTCAATCAGCAAACATCTAGAGCCACATCTAGAGCCACATCTAGAGCTACCTCCACATTGTATCACTGCTGTGAGTGTGCACAGGCTCAGACCATAGCCACAAGAGCCCGGGAGCTCTCCTGCCACCCAGCTGCAGTCCAGAAATCGACATTTGTTTATATCCTTTCCCACCCTGCCCTCCTGCCCTCCAGCACTGTGTCACCTAGCCCCCTCCCACCACCACTGAATTAGCCCAAAACATTGCCTGTGGGTTTCTGGTCATAGCTCTTCCTCTGTATCCATATCCATATCCATATCTGCATCTCCATCTAGAGTGAAATTTCCGTTGACTTATCAAATTTTATTTGTTTTTGCAAATAACCAGTCTTTGGCCCGATTTATCAAATTTTGTTACTGTTAAGTTTCTGCCTTCCTACTATTTTCTATTTCCCTTAGGTTTGTTGATCCTTACATTTATCTTTCCTCCTGATGAACACAGTTGCCTACAGCTAGTAGTCTATAAAAGCCCCCCCCCAGCCCGTTTCATCTGCTAATGAGTATAAATACTATGGGGGTGGTTTTACTGGTCAGGAACTGATGTTCCCAGGATCATGCTTGTTGACAAAAAGACCTTCAGAAATGTTCTTCC